GAGGATACAATAAAAATTGTTAGGCTATATATATGAAAAGTAATGGTTACTCCGAATTTTCTGCCTACAGAAAAGCTAACCATCAAGCAAAAATATATTTCACTGTGACTGAGTTATATACAAAATGCTATTCAACAGCTTGCTTGAAGTAAAGGCATTCAAGGGTACCTTAAGAAGGGGTGGAGATGCCCAGCGTCAGAAAGCTGTCCCATAGCCATTGTAATTCAATTTCTTGAATTCTAAATTATTACCAATTTATTCTCTTATTTGCATTATGCCAATAATACAATTAATAAGTTGAAAAAGCAAGGGATATATAGTACACACTTCTGTAGAGTTTCCTGAGTCAACTTAGCGTTGAAATACTTTCGTTTGGGAGCATAATTGGGACCTTTCTTTACAGAATATATAGCCTTTCCACATCCTAAGAAGAAAGGAGAGAAGCTTTAGTTACTTACTGTCTCCCAAAAGAAACAATGTTTACAAATAAAAAAGCACGGTTAACAGGTTAGTTATTGTGGTGCTATGAGTTTTCTGGCTTTGAGAGAATTGAGACTTTCTTTGTCAAGTTCCTGAATTAAGGAGAGAAAGGCCAACTTAGTCACATGAGTCTTTTAATAAGAATTCTACATTGTTGTTTTTGAAATAAGAATGGTACAAACCAGTCCCTCCTCTGTTTGTAAAAGCAACTTCTTCAACATGTTGAACCTACAACAACACAATTTGGTCAGAACTAATGAAGCAAACTAAAATAGATGCAGAAAAAGACACTTGCTCTTTACCTTCCTAGACACTTCCTTTCCCATTTCCACCCATTTGTTTTTACCAGCTTGTGAACAGCCAAACTGGCTCAGTTTTTTCTGAAACAGCAACATTTTTACACCACATGACATCAAATCCATATGATTTTAAACCAATCATCATGATAAAGAAAATTAGAAAAAATAATAATAGATGTTTATATATGTGTGTGTTTGATCCATAATAATCACCTCGAGTCTCCGTGTTGCCTACTCCTCAACTCGAAGAGAAAACAATAAAAAAAGCCCTAAGAAATATTTCATTACTCGTTTATATGGCCCATTGGGCTTATCGGTCTATTATTTGTATCATCGTCGTTTAATTTGATGGGAAGGTCGGTCAACAAAATCAAAACAAACGACATCGTTTTATCTACGATTCTCAGTTTTCGCCTATTTGCATGGGAATGCCACGTGGCATATGCAGAAGTTGCCATGAACGAGTCTTTTTCCACTACATCAATCAATGTCACCAAAACCGAATGC